ATTTTCTTATGCTCCTGAACTTCTACTTTGGGAAATACTTCCTACCATAGAATTCTGTGATAAAATTGAGAACAAAATTAAATTTATTGAAAGGAGTACTGATAAATATGAAGTTAAAAAAGTTATCAGAGGCTCACATATGTCCAGTGTAAATGTTTTTAACTACTCCGGTCAAACATAAATTGAGTCTGCGTTTTGACTTGTTGTTCATTGAGTTTATGTTTAAATTTCTCTGTGTTTCAGTATAATAAGCCCAGTGAAACTGTCATCCCTGAGTCAGTAGATGGCTTGCAAGAGAATCTGGATGTGGTAGTGTCTTTAGCTGAGAGACATTATTATAACTGTGATTTTAAAATGTGCTACAAGCTTACTTCTGTGTAAGTATATCTACCCATTTTCGTGTAGGAACATGAAGTTCAGTCCTTCTTACCCAAGTAATTCACGGACATGCTGTCTGTAACCTCAAGCTGGATGATTTCCCTCTGCCATTGGCAGAGTACTGAGCAGGGTGCCGTCTTAAAAGAGCAGTTTGCAGACACGGGGCATGCATATTTATAGGGTTACTACATTATATATGTGATTCCTAAAAAAGCTTTCAGAAATATCTTCCTCCCAAGAACTCCTTATACTAAAAGATTGAATAATCAAATAAATGGAATGGTGTTGCATGAAACTTGGGAGGGATATACATGTTCCTCTTCCCAATCTTGATAATTTGCAAGTTTGAAAATACCATTTTGGCACACAGTTTTACAAAATCCCTCCTTTGTTAGAGACTAATACAGTCCTGCAGATACTGCTCAGTCTGCCACACTCACTAACTAAGCCATATCCCCACGTGTCAGTTTTCCAGTGTACATAATTTGAATTTATCCTTTAGCTAAGTTATATCCACTATTTTTTGTTTAAAATCCTTGAAATCACAGAAATTTTAATTGGGAAATACTAGTGATCTATTTAATGTTTCATATTGTTTTTGATCCTTTAATTGGATTACTTATTTTATGTATTACAGTTCTCTTGATTTAAAGTAAATGTATGTTACAATGTTTATTTTTATCTTTACAAACAAACTAGAATTTTTCCTTTCATTTATAACCTAATCATTGCCCAACTGAACTGGCCTGAAGATGGCGGAGTGAGGGAGGTAGAAAGTGTCACAACCCACAGTGCTGTACATGATGCATGACGACCTTCAGATGTAGCTAAAGGTGGTGAGTGCTGTCTCGGCCTGTTTCTGGGTGGTAACGTGTGGCTTTAACTTCCAGAGTAACGGAAAAAGATCCTTTCCATGCAAACTGTTTACCTGTGCACATAGGGACGCTTGTGGAGCTGAATAAAGCAAATGGTAAGAATTTTTTTTTAGTTGAAATAATTTCTAAGACAAAAATAAGTTTCTATAACTCTTGAAATTTTGTCTCATAAATCCTAGCTAGTTGAGATTGCGGGTAACAACATAATAAGTTCCACAATAAAAGTAACAACTGGGAAAGAAATGTTTATCTAGGTGACCAATGGTCTATTCTGTTTTACCAACAGAACAATTTATTTCTTTATGCCTGCTTCCTTTTCTCAAATGTAATTTATGCTTCAAGGTGTGTTAGCTTTCAGTTGGTGGGAGTCGGTTCTGCCTTTTTTTCTCCTTTTTTATAAATTCTGTAAGAAAACTTGTAAGAATAAATAACTTTAGAAATTGGAAGGGAACAGACTTTTTGCTCGTGTTTTCTGTATTTTGACATTTCAGAAACATTGGGTTGTGTTTAGGCTGCATTTGGTCTTTCAATCTTTTAAAACTGAATAGTGAACTCTGTCAGGAGGAAAAAGCCCCAAATGCTCGGACTCCTGGTCCCTGCAGCTCACGGTGGTCTGAGGACCAGCAGCGTTGCACCCTGTGAGAGCCTGTTGGAAATGCAGTGTCCAGCTGCCCTGGTCTGCAACTGGGAAATGTCACCCCAAAAATACTAGGACGTACACATTTCTTAAGAGAAAATAACCTCAGTGATTTGATAAACTTGAAAGCTTGGTGAGTCGTATCTGCCCGTGGGTGGTTAAGATGGTCCACAGTGGGCCTGAGGTGTACGAGGCCTGGGTTTCTGGACGGGGGAGGTGCTCTGCAGTGACCCTTGCAGCAGGGGGGGCGTTTTGCTGGGGGGCGTCTGCTCCCACCTCGCCTGCTGTGTGTCTTCCGTCCACCTTTCCAGTCACTCGGCAAGTGTCCAGTGCCCGCTGTGGGCCTGGCACTGGGTCTTTCTGCCCGGTGGAGTTTTTATACCTTATTAGGTAAATGGATTTTGTATCTAGAAGGAAATAGAAGTACGCGGTCATTTCTGTGAGAACAGAATTTGTATGATTGTGAAGAGTTGTGACTAAGTCATATCTTAAATTGCATTTCATATGAATAATTGTATCCTTTTTTTCTTTTTCCCTAATGTAGAACTTTTCTATCTTTCTCACAAACTGGTGGATTTATATCCTAGTAATCCTGTAAGTAACATAAATCTCTTTTATTCTTAACAGTGTTTTTTACTTAGCTAAGCTTTAAGAAAATATTTAGTATTTGGACAGTAGCTTATTTTTAAGTTCAAGCAAATAATGTTTTATTTTAAAGAGTTAGAGCAGAATCTCCTAGTGCTTTAGATGCTTAGCAGCATTAACTGTTTCAATCCATTAAACTGAAGCAATAACTTACAACACAAACCTCTTATTTTTTCTGAACTAGAATATGTGATACAGGAACGTCTAGTCTATCCTCTTTCTAGCCTAATTTGTTAGAGATTCCAATTCTGGGTTAAACAATCTTTGCTCATGGTACATTTTGAACTTTTTAGGTCTCTTGGTTTGCGGTGGGATGTTACTATCTCATGGTTGGTCATAAAAATGAACATGCTAGAAGATATCTCAGGTATGGACTTCCTTCCTTCCTCCCTCTGTAGCGAACCTGCAGGAGGTGACTGCTTGCTCATGTGCTTTAGTGCAGTCATTAGTGAGTACTCCGAGGCAGCGTGGAAGAATAAATGTTCTCTTCAGCGATTCAGTTCAGTTGCATCAGTTGTTAGCCTTGTTCTTTATGAGATGCCATGAGGGGAGATGAAAGAAATCAGTGCTTTAGACCTTGTTCTCAGGGAGCTTATATGTTTTTAATTTTATCGACAAATGAGAAAAACATGAAACAAAAGAGAATAATGTGGGATGAAAGGCTCTTTTTTTCATTTATGCTGTTAACCTTTTACTTTTAGGACTTCTTTTGTTAATAGTTGTGAAATTACGTGGGATTGGGGTCCCTAAATGTGACTGTAAAACAGAATTGCTGGCAGAGTGAATTGGTCCCCATGAGGACCCACCGTGGTTTTAGCTTAAGGACAGCCACTGCAGCCCAATCAAGCATTAACCAGTATTATTCAAGTCTAGGAAAATGTCTAGTATATGAAGAATTACTTAACACTTTAAATGTAGTAATTCCTGTGCTTCCCTCTATGCAAACAAAATGTTAGTAGAAATTGGTCTCTGTGGGAAAGAGGATAAACTTTGGAGTCAGAGTTGAATTCTGGTGCAGGTTTTGTGACTCACCAGCTGAAACTCCTCAGAAAAGTTGGTTTCCCTGACTCTGTACTCTAAAAAGGGGGATGATGCAATGTTTACATCTCAGCATTGCTAGGAAAATTGATGCGATGACCTGAAAGGGCCCTGCGCTAGGAGGAGACAGAAGGAGCTCTCTGGTTGGTTGTGTGCTCAGTATTTTAGGAAAACTTGGGAGTAGGAAGATGATTGGTGTTGTAAAAGTTCTTTTGAACTCTGCTTCCGTGGTTTACTGTGTGATTCAGTAATGGACTCTACATGAAACGGGGACCATTTGGGGGAAAGAAAACTTAGAAAACAAAATACTAGGAAGCAGGATGTCACCCTTTATGTTTTCCATGTTTTCTGATATATTCCCTTTATTCCTTGCTGTGGGTTAGTCATGACAGTGTGTTCACTGTCTGAAGACTGTTCGTGCACAGTGCAGTCCGTGTAACCGGGGTGAACCTCTTACCACCATCGGGAGGCTATAACTTAAACTCTCAGGTCTCACTATACTTGTCTTTAAAATATAAATTAGTTTATCTGGCAAGTTGCCAGGATGAAAGCATGCATCTGAGGCATCTGACGGGGTGCCTGGCACAAAACAGACCCTCAGTTAATGGTGGTTGCTGTTGCTGCTACCTTTTATCTACTAGGTTACAAGACGGAGCTCCTGGACTAAGTAACGTTTGTAAGTTCTCTACAGAATGCTAATGGGTTCAGCTATAGTACCTAAAAGGTTATGGACCGCTCTCCTAAAATTTCTTGAAATTTTGCTTATACCATTAAATATTGTTTTAGTTCAAGTGAACACAATTGTTACATCAGTGTTCAATATGTTGACAACTCATTTATTTAAAGGATGTTAGTGTCTTTGAGGCAATCTGCTTATATAAAATTAACAATTTAAGAACAAATGTTACATTAGTTGAATGACCGCTTTTGTTTTAGCAAAGCTACAACGCTGGAGAAGACCTACGGGCCTGCGTGGATAGCCTACGGGCATTCGTTTGCGGTGGAGAGTGAGCACGACCAAGCCATGGCTGCCTACTTCACGGCAGCACAGCTAATGAAAGGGTATGGCAGAGCCGGCTGAGCAAACTCCATGAAAGGATATTTTGCTAACAAAAAGAAATGAAATTTCTATTGTTAATATATTGCCATTTGATTGTTAAACTAAAAAACATTTTACTTCTTATCTAGTAGCTTGTGATTGTAAAATAACTATGGAAATAGACGAGGAAAGAAGCTGGCGTAGTGAATTTGCCTAGCAATTTATCTCAACCAGTGTAAGAAGAAACTAGGAAGTAAGGCCAAGGGAAGAGATGCGTACAGAAGCTCTTCGCCTGCTCATGCAAGAATGAAAATTGTTTTATCTGTTACCAAAAGGTATCTGATGTGGCTTAGTGGTAGTGCAGGACTGCGTTTGCCAATATAGCTAGATTTATATCAGTATCAATTGTATTGATATTGAAATAATTAACTAATTAAGAGTATGTTACTTTGGGGACCAGAGTATTGCTGTTATTCCCACTGATGCTTTGGTCTCACCATTGGTTAGACCTTGCGGAGTTCTTTCACGTGGATCACTTCTGCTGACGACGACTCCATCTGTGTGGAGAGGTAGTGTGAGTGCGTGGCCCAGGCAGCTGGCCTGGAGTCATACTGCCTGGACTCACTTCCAGGCTCTTCCATGTAGAGCTACGTGATCTGGGGCAAATGACTCAGCCTCTTAAAAAAAATAAAAATAACAGCAAAACTTACTCATTGGCTTACTGAAGCACTCAAAGTTAGCTACCTTTGTTTGCTCATAGTGCTCAGTGTGGGATCGTGCATTTATCTATATTGAGTTTCATCTTGTTAGATTTGATGTGCCTTTTCAAACTATTCAAACTCTTTTTGACACTAAGTTCTGTATTCAAATCACTTGTCAAGCCCAGCTTTTTATACTCACTAAACTTGATAAGTATGGCTTTTACATCTAATCATCCATGTAAATATTGTGAAGGATGTAACTCCCTAGCTGTATTAGTCAGTAGGGCTGCCATAACAAAATACCACAGACTGGGTGGCTTGAAGGACAGGAATGTATTTTCTCTTAATCCTGGAGAATGGGACGTGCGAGACCAGGTGCTGGCCGATGCAGTTCCTGGTGAGGGTTCTCCTGGCTTGCAGACATGGCTGCCTTGCTGCGTCCTCACACGGCAGCGAGTGAGCTCTGGTATCTCTTCGTCTTCTTGTAAGGACACCTTACTGTTGGATGAGGATCTTACTCTTATGATCATTTAATGTTTGTTACCTCCTTATGGGCCCTATTTCCGAACACAGGCACAGTGGGGTTAGGGCTTCAATGTTTGAATTGGTGGGGAGGACGCAGCCAGTCCACAGCACGAACGCATGATTAGAAGTAGCCCTCCAGGTAACAGTTGTTCAGCGGCCATCAGTCTGCCTCAATGGTCCTTGTGCTGATCCCAGGTCTCTCCTTCCTTCCACCAAGGTGTGTGAGACCCTTTCCGGTTGCTTTTCTGACGCTCAGCTCCGGTTATCTGCATATTTCTCTTAATCTATCTGATAATTTTTGAGGGAAAAAAAATAACTTCCTATGAGTTGTTTCTTACGAACATACGCCAGAGCCTGGTAATTTTTGTTGGGTATTCTGGGTGCTCACAAACAGAATAGTTACTAGTTCCTAGCTAAGAATAAAAATCAGCGATAATGGCTGGGTGCAGTGTCTCACGCTTATAATCCTTGCACTTTGGGAGGCCGAGGCTGGAGGATCGCTTGAACTGAAGAGTTCAAGACCAGCCTGGGCAACATGTTGAGACCCTGTTTCTACAAAAAAAAGAATGATCTGGCCGGGCGCGGTGGCTCACGCCTGTAATCTTAGCTCTCTGGGAGGCCGAGGCGGGCAGATTGTTTGAGCTCAGGAGTTTGAAACTAGCCTGAGCGAGAGCGAGACCCCATCTCTACTAAAAAAAATAGAAAGAAATTAATTAGACAACTAAAAATATATAGAAAAGATTAGCCGGGCATGGTGACGCATGCCTGTAGTCCCAGCTACTGAGGAGGCTGAACTGGGATGAGCCTGGGAGTTGGAAGTTGCAGTGAGCTGTGATCACACCACTGTACGTGACAGAGTGAGACCCTGTCTTGCAAGGAAAAAAAATGATAATACAATTAATTAAACACCTTTAGTGTTTCCTAGTCTAATAAACTTTATTTCATTAAATTCTCACATCAGCTCATCAAGAGAAGTATTATTTTCTCTCAGTTTTACACCCCCGTCAGAACAGCTTTGCATTCTCTTAACCTCCCTGTGTTTGGATGAATGTTTGAAATTGGATAAATATTTTTAAGTTTCCTTTGTGATTTCTTTTTTGAGTCATTGAAGAGTATGTTAATACTTAATTTCCACATATTTGTGAATTTCCCAAATTTCCTTCTGTTACTGATTTCTAACTTAATTCTGTTGTAGTTAGAGAACATACTTGGCGTGGTGTCAGCCCTTTCAAATTTATTGAGGCTTGTTTCATGAGGGAACATAGGATCTGTTGTTGAGATTGTTCCAGATTCGCTTGAGAATCCTGCTCTTTTTGTGTGGAGTGTTCCATTGCTATCTTTTAGGTCTAATTTTCGTAGTGTTATTGAAGTCTTCTGTTTCCCTGTTGGTCTTCTACCTCGTTACCCTGTCCATCGCTGCAGGGGGGGTGCTGACGTCTCCACCTCTTACTGTTCAGTGTCTGCTTCAGGTATTCTCAGTGTCCATTGTTAGCTGCATGTATGCTTATGATTGTTCTATTTTCTAGAGGGATTGAGCGTCTGTCATTATAAAATGCCCTTCATTGTCTCTAGTAACAATTTTTGCCTTACTCTCTATTTTATCTGATATTAGTGCAGTCACACAAGCTCTCCTTTGTTACTGTTGGCGTGGTATGTCTTTTTCCATCCTCTCACTTTTAAATTGCCTGTATCTTTGAAAATACAGTGTATATCTCTTGTAGACAACATATGTAGTTAGATCATTGTTTATTTTACCAGTTGCTGCCTTTTGATTGGAGTGTTTATCCCATTTATGTTTAATGTAATTAGTGATAAGGTAGGATTGATATCTGCCATTTTGTTCTTTGTTTTCTACATACGTCTTTCTGTTCTTGTATTTCTCATTACTGCCTTCTTTTGTCTTGAATAGCTATTTTATAGCATCCCATTTTAATCCCCTGTTTTGGTCTTATACTGTATTTTTTGAGTTATTTTCTTAGTGGTTATCTTAAGGATTATATTTAATAACTTAAAACAATCTGGTTCGGATTAATACCAATTTAATTTCAATAGTATAACAAAACTTGAGTAGAGCTCTGTTCTCTTCCACCTCTGGTGCTATTATTGTCATACAAATTACATCTTATATATTACAAGCCCATCAACACAGACTTAAAATTATTGGTTTATTCAGTTATCTTTTAAATCAAATACAAAAGAGTTGCAAACAGAAATATAGTTATACCGTGTTATATTTACCAATGTAGTTACTCTTATCTGACTCTTACTTCTTCATGTGGATTCAAGTTAATGTATAATATCCTTTTATTTTAGCCTAAAGGACTCCCTTAGTGTTTCTTGTTGGGCAGGTCTGCTAATGACAGATTTTCTCAATTATACATTGTTATAATTATTACTTTATCTGGTTTTGTTTTTTTAAAGAAGCTGAGAGAAGAAATGAAAGCAAGTATATATTTATGTCATTTGTTATATTAACCTTGTTTATCATTTTTCATTTTCTTCATTTGTCCCTATGGGTTTGAGGTACCCTCTGGTGTCACTTTCTTTCATTCTTTTTTTTCTTTTTCTTTTTCTTTATTTTTTTGATGAGATGAGATCTTGCTCTGCCGCCCAGACTGGAGTCTACTGGCACAATCATGGCTCACCACAGCCTCTAATTCCTGGGCTCAAGCAATCCTCCTGCCTCAGCCTCCCAAGAAGCTGGGACTATAGGCGTGCCCCACCACGCCCAGCTTGGTGTCACTTTCTTACTCTAATACAGCTTTGCTTTCACCTATTTCCTATTCTTTTATTGGTAAACCTTACATTTCTGTGTATGATAGGCCCAAAAATGCAATTACAAGTGAGTTTGCCTAATCTGAAAATTTGAAATCTGAAAGTTTTTGACAATTGTCGTGACACTCAAAGGAAATGCTCATTGGAGCAGTTCAGATTTTGGATTTTCAGACTAGGATGCTCACCAGTAAGTATGATGCAAATATTCCAAAATCCAAAAAAAGTCTGAAATCCAAAACATTTCTGGTCCCAAGCATTTCGGATCAGTTTAGAGAAAGAAGAGGACATGTACATTTATACTATCTTTTATAATTATATAATTATCTTTACTGGTACTCTGTTTTTTCTTGTGGATTTGCGTTACTCTCTGGGGTAGTTTGCTTTCAGCCCGTAGAACTTTCTTTAGTATTTCTTGCAAAGTGTGTCTGCAATAAATGTTCTCAGTTTTTTCCCCTAAAGAGTGTCTTAATTTCACCTTCATTTTCAAAGGATAATTTTTCTGGGTGTGGATTCTTGGTTGACGACCCTTCGGTACTTTGTAACCCAGCTGCTTTCTGGCCTCTGCGGTAGTTAATGAGAAGTCAGCTGCTAATCTTACTGAAGGTCCCTTGTGTGTTACTTGCTTTTCTGTCACTGCTTTGAAGATTCTTTTTTTGTCTTTTTCAGTGGTTTGACCATGATTTGCCTGGGTCTGGATTTCTTTGAGTTTGTTCTTAGAGTTCTTTGAGATTTTTGGAAAGCTTTTGGCTGTTATTTCTTCCAATATTCTTTCTGCCCCTTCTTTCCTTCTCCTCCTAGGACTCCTGCTGTCCATGTACTGGTGTGCCCGAGGGCGGCTCTGCTCACTTTTCTTCTTTCTGTTTCTCAGGCTGGATGATCTCAGTTGACCTGTCTTCAAGTTCAGCGATGCTTTCTTCTGTCCAAATCTGTTCTTAAACCCTTCTAGTGAATTTTTTATTTCAGTTATTATACCTTTCAACTCAAGAATTGCTATTTAGTTGGGTTTTCTTATAATTTATATCTATTTATTGTTATTCTCTGGTGAGACAGTATTCTCATACTTTATTTTTGTAGACATAATTTCCTTTGGTTCTTCGAATATTTAAAATAGCTTATTTAAGATATTTGTCTTGTAAATCTAACATCTGAGCTTTTCCCAGAATAGTTTCTATTGGCTGCTTTATTTCCTGCGTATGGGCCATACTTTGCTGTTTCTTTGCGTGTCTATTTTTTTGTCGAAAGTAGACATTTAAAGTAATACAATGGGGAAATTCTGGAAATCAGATTTTCCATCCCAAGGTTTGTTGTTGCTCCTGTTTGTTTAGTGACTTTCCATAACTAGTTCTGTCATCTGCGTGACGTGTCGTGTGATGCCACTGAAGCCTCTCTGCTCACTGGCTTTGGTGTCTCTCAAACCAGTAAGTCCTGCACCCTTTGTTGGAGGACTCTGTTCCTGCACTGGGGCGCCCTTGGACACCGGGAGTTGCCATCTCTGCCTTAGCCTTCACTTCCTCTTGCACAGAGCCTCAAGAGTGACCAGAGGGGAGAGTTTAGGGCCTTCTGAGGTCTGTCCTGGGCCTGCATGTGGCCCTACACGTGTGCATGGCCCGACCCCCAGGAATGTGTTGGAGCTCTTCAGAAGGCCCTGTGGGCATCTCCTTCCCCAGATTTCCTTTTAAGTTTTGGCCAGCCTCCTGTTTGCCCCAACTACTGATAGCTTCCTGCGGTAGCTGCCAACTGTTTTCAACAAATACCCTGGGGATGGAGTGAGCCCTGAGGTCAGATCGAGACAAGCCATGAGACAGGCCAAATAGTGGCAGCTCTTGGTGGGGTGTTGTGGGAACTCCACTCTCATCCTGCTGCCTCCAGCGGCCACGAGGCGATGGTTTTACAGCTACTGTGATTGTGCGGCTGCTGGTTTCCAAGGCTGGTGCAAAGCTGGGGAAGAGAGACGGGAGCAGGGCAGGCTAAGGCACCACAGAGTTTGCTGCTCTTGCTGGGACTCGGCTGTTTCTCTTGAATATATGCTCCTGAAATCGCTGTGAGCCCTTCCTTGACTTCCAAGGTTCTGAAAAAGTTGACTTTCGACAATTTTTGCCAGTGTTCTTGTTGCTTCTATGGACGAATAGCGTTTTGAAGGTCCTCACTCTGCCGTTTCAAAAGTACTTCCTCCAGATAAATACTTTTAAATGATTCTTCATGACCTGTCTATAGATGATAGAATCTTTTTTTTATTGTGCCCCCAAAATCCATGTTGAAAAGAATCTTAGTTTGAGTCATGATTCTAGATTAGAACCAAGGTCATGCCAAGCAATTAATCATTATTTATTGATGTCTTAGATCATCTTCAAAGGATCATCTTATTATATTTGCTTTAATGTGATCAGTGATGCAATAGTGTGAACAGATAGATGAAAATTTAATTAAAAAGCAGCTAGTGCTGGCTGTGTGCCTAGAACTATCTCAGGATGGGAAAATAGAATTAACACACGTGACATTATTTAGAACTCTTCTGCGTAGAACTGGTAATAACTGAAATTTTAATGGGAATTCACAGAAAGGAGAGTTTCTAGGTTTCAAAGAGTCAGAGGTAGCTTCCTAAAGGGAAGCGGAACTTGAGCACGGTCTTGAAGATGGGCAGGGCTGGAAAATGAGGAGAAGGGAGGCGGGCGAGGCTGGGACCTGGTGTCAGTGTCACGGGAACAGGCGCTGTTCTACTTTAGAGGGTTTTGGGGTTTTTGACTGTGGAATAATGAAAATTAAAGATAAGTAAGTTGCTGAGTGATTCTGAAAGTGACAGCCGATTAGCCTAAAAGCCTATTAAGCATTCATTAAATATTAGTAAATTAAGAGTTAGAAAAAAGTAAACGTTGTGTTTTGGCTACATTTAAATTATTTTGTAGGTAAGTTTTGAAGTTGACGAATTAGTTTCTGCTGAATGACAAAGTTTTGGGTATTGAATATGTGACGTTTTCCAATGTGTTTAGGTGTCATTTGCCAATGCTGTATATTGGATTAGAATATGGTTTGACCAATAACTCAAAACTTGCTGAAAGATTCTTCGGCCAAGCTCTGAGCATCGCACCGGAAGACCCTTTTGTGATGCATGAGGTTGGAGTGGTTGCCTTTCAGAATGGAGAGTAAGTATGAGAGAGCCCAAGTCCTTCTGTCCACTCTGCAAACAGAGAAACCTCAGTCACTAGGGTTTAGCTGATCAGAGTGACTCTTCGTAGGTTTTTATTTTTAAATGCACTATTTTAGGAGGAGACAGTTAAAAAAGGGAAAGAAACTGTTATCTTGGATTTCTTAAAAATTCTAAACCCAGGTCCTGGTTGTCCTTTGGGCTGAGCTGCCACGAGGTTCCTCACGTGGGTGGACAGCTCAGATCCCTGACACCCCACACTGCGGCCTGAGGCACTGGGGCACCCTTCGTGATCTCTGTGTGGAGTAGGAAATAGATTCATGTATTTGAGAAAAATTCTCTACAGTTTTTGAAACATAAATGTTTTCTGTTTAGTTACTAGTAAATCAGGAAATTAAGCTAATTAGAATGACCCAATCTCTGAGTTTCCTCATCAGTTGAAGCTTTGATGTAACCTTGATTATTTATGGAATAAGTGGTTCGGTGTCATACTCAAGAGAGAAAAATATCAATTAATATAATCCCTTGCATTCAATTATACGTAAATTTTAAAACGGTAAATTAGTACTACTGTGTTATTTGTGGTGTGTGTGTGTGTGTTCTAAAAATTGGATTATCTAGGTATATATAAGAAAAACTTGAAGCTTTAAAAAAGTACATAGTAATGACTTAATCTAATAGACTGAATCCTCAGTATTTGCAAATTCTGTATTTATGAATTGTCTTCTCACTAACACTTACCAGTAACTCCAAAATCAGAACTCGAGGTGCTTTCACAGTGGTTGGCAGACACAGGCAGGGAGAAATTTGAGTCTCCGACGCCCACGTCCCTCGCTGAAGTCACACGAGGCGACGCTCTACCTTTTTGTCTCAGCTCATGCTTTAAACCAGTATCTTTTTGTGGTCTGTGTAGTACCACGTTTTTCGTGTTTTTGTGCGTTTCACTGTTTAAAATAATCTCCAAGCTTAGTGCTGAAGTGCTATCTAGTGTTTTCCAAGCACAGGAGGCTGCGATGTGCCTTATGGAGGAAACACACGTGTTAGAAAAGCTTCCTTCAGGCACGCGGTATAGTGCTGTTGGCCACGAGTTCCACGTCAGTGAATCAACAGTGCCTACCAAACCAGATGTCTTTAAACAGAGATACACACAAAGCAAGGTTATCATTGACCAGCTGATGAAAATGTGACCAGAGGTTTGCAAAGAACCTAACGGTGTTTCCCCTGGGAGCAGTGGTTCGCTATTTGCAAAACCGGTGTTTGTAGAGACTGTGTAGAACATAAGCACTGCAGATATGAGAATCTACTGTCGTCTCCTGAAGTCTTGAACTCGTGTGATGTTAATGCTGTAAAATTAATCATTTATCTGATTTAACTTTGAATTTTAATAGTTATCTCCAGCAATTTAACCGTTTCATTTTAGTACTACTAGAAAGAGGCATTTAAATTTTTCTGAAATGTTTATACTTGCTAATTTTGACTAATCTGCAACCTCTTTTTCCTTTATTTTAGATGGAAAACAGCAGAAAAATGGTTTCTCGATGCTTTGGAAAAAATTAAAGCAATTGGGAATGAGGTATTCTATGTAATATCTGCAAATATGCATACACACCACTGAGTGTGTTTATTGTTGAATGAGGAAAATAATACACACGGTCTCTCTTGCCTAGAAGATACTAACCTAATATTTATCCTAACAAATGGCTTGTTAATGTTTGCATTGTCAGTTAACTGTTTTACCACATGGTAAAAAATGAGTTTGTTTCTGATTAAGATGGCAGGTGTCACTTAAGAGGGCTCTAGATTTGAAATGTGGAAACAATCAGAATGTATTGGATGATTATTTGAAACTGGGAATATTAACTGGTGGGCACTGTAGTGTCTGACTTAATACTCCTCTAGAACTTCATAGAGCCTCGTCTTTGACTAAAGGGTAAATGCAGGGTAGCAGTTGATCTCACTTCTGCAGGGGCAGGGATGGGGACAGGCATCATTCAAATTCAGACCTTTTGTCTCTGTTCCTTACTGTGTACTGAGTATATAAATAGACTCTCAATAGTTGGGATATTTAACTAGGTTCTGTTGTCTGAAAGATGTACCCATGAATTGGTGCTCATGAGTTAACCTTCCAACTAGCAAGGATATATGTATGCTGGTATTATTTAAAAATAATTACAATTGGCCAGACCTGGTAGCTCATGCCTGTAATCCTAGCACTTTGGGAGGCCAAGGTGGGAGGATGCTTGAAGCCTGTAGTTCAAGAGCAGCCTGGGCCTGTCTCTACAAAAAGTAAAAAAAAAAAAAAGCTGGGCATGTTGGCATGCACCTATAGTCCCAGCTTGTCGGGAGGCTGAGACAGGAGGATTGCTTAAAGTCCAGGAGTTCGGGGCTGCAGTGAGATATGATTGTGCCATTGTACTTTAGCCAGGGCAACACAGCGAGACCCTGTCTCAAAACAAAAACACAGAAGCTGGGCACAGTGGCTCACGCCTGTAATCCTAGCACTCTGGGAAGCTGAGACAGGAGGATCGCTTAAGGTCAGGAGTTAGAGACCAGCCTGAGCAAGAGCAAGAACCAGGCTCTACCAAAAATAGAAACAATTAGCTGGTCATGGTGGCGCCTGTAGTCCCAGCTACTTGAGAGGCTGAGGCAGGAGGATCGCTTGAACCCAGGAGCTTGAGGTTGCAGGAAGTTACGATGATGCCACTGCACTCTAGCTGGGGTGACAGAGCAAGACTCTGTCTCACAAAAATAGAAAAGAAAAAAGCAACACTTTTAGATACCATAAACTTCTGTTGACAAAGGACTTAACATGTTTCTACTCTTCTAATTCCTGATTCTTTTTCTTCATACCTGTTTTGTTTTATTCTATTCTGAGTTTCACTTCTTGGTTTCATTCTGTTCCTGTCCATGCACCTTCCCACAGCTCCCTTCTTCCTGCGCTGTTAGCTCCTCTCCACTCTCACAGACACAGCTCTGCCAGCCAGGCAGCCACCTGCCTGTCCCCGTAAACACAGCTTTGTTTACTTTGGTCTCTTATTATTTGTCTTCTGAACTTACAGACGTTCTATTTCTGTGTGTCTGCACATGCATGTATTTAAAGCAGGCTCCCCTCAGCTGAGTCTGGGTGGTTCTGGATGATGCAAGTGCTTTCGTTACTCTTGGTATCGGGTTGCCACTTGCCACCCTGTCAGTTGTCTGCGCATCGGACTACTTGATGCTCAGCCTGTCCCAGCAGCACCCGCCTCATGGGAAGCTGGGTAGAAGTGCAGAATCTCAGGTCTACTAGATCAAAGTCTGCAGTTTTAGCGATATCTCCAGGTGATTCTCATGCACAGAAAAGTTTAAGAAGCACTTTCTCAAACTAAAAGTTCAGACTATAGTCTTTGATGATTCAGAGGCACTTTGCAGTCCTGACGAAATTTGAAGTAATAATCTTAAGTGTGAAAGTGCAATATGATTTAAGTATCAAAATACCCAATAAACAGTTATATGAAGGGGGAAGATGCTGTGGGAGACTTTAGTTATAAACTGCAGCGAATGTCAAAGTAGTCAAAGAGAAGCAGTCATGCCTAAGAATCATTAAATGATTTGTTTTTGCTTCACGTGGGCTGTGCCTCTTAGATCCAGTCTTGTAGAGTGAGAAAACGTGGCTGAGGTCTACTCATTCATTTTGTTGACATATATTTAACTGCGTCGATCATTTCCTGCACTCTGAGGTAGGCACTGGGTGCACCAGGGAACTGATTTGCCATTTCCTGCCCTCCGATCTTCTGGGCAATGTCAGTAAGTAAATTGGCAGTAAAAACACAGTGCAACCGAGGAAATCAAGGAGCTCACGGGGAAGGGCAGTTCACCCAGACGTGCGGGTGCCCAGGAAGGCTTTTGGTTACAGTACACACCTCAGTCCTGCAGGTGAGCAGACACTAGCCAGGCAAAAATGAAGGGGAGAGTATTTCAGGTGTACAGAATGTTGTGTGCAAAGATTGGAACTAATTCAGCATGGCTTGGATTTTGAGTTTACAGAACACATTGAGAAAGGGGGCAAGAGGGTTAAACGTGGGTCACTAAGGGGCTGAGAATGATGTAAGAGAGTTTGCACGTTATCCTGAGGAGAGCAAGAACAGATGGGACAAAACAGGCAGACACTGTCACCAGGGAGGCTGAAGATTAAATGTGTACGAGTCGTGCCCAGGAGGGAAAAGGAACAAGCCGTGTGTTTCTCGGAGGGGTCAGGGGTCTTGGGTGCCGTTTGGTGACGGGTAAGGCACTCAGAAGGGCTGAGACTGGGGAGCTGAAATGACAGGAGAGAGACAAGTTTGGTGTGTGGCACATTGAGTCCAAAGTACTTGTGACATTGCTAAGTAGAAATATCTGTAGGCAGATGGATATAAAGATCTGGCGTTTCAGAGAAGGCTCTGAGCTTCAGGTACAAAATTTGAACTTCTCCAGCACGGATGGGCTGTTTGACAAATTGTGCTCATGACAACAGAGTCCTCAGGAAGTCGCCTCTAGCAGGAAAGAAAGACGGACAAACCAGCAAGTGCTCTTGCCTCAGGCCGTGGTGCGGACGCGCCAGGAGACAGAGAGCCCCTTGCGGAGACGCGAAGTAATTTAGTGCAAACAAATCAGGCTGAACGTGACCTGTGTAACTCGTGGGCTTGATGTTGCTGTGTTTTAGGTAACAGTTGACAAGTGGGAACCCTTGTTGAACAACTTGGGGCATGTCTGCAGAAAACTTAAGTAAGTGAAGCAGAGCATTTTCAGAAATATACTTTGTGACTGAAAGTTTACTTAATTTTAATTAGCCTTTTCCATGTTTCCATTTCATGAGATCCTCCAGTTTTCTTCCATGTGGCTGTGCAGATATAATAAGCATCAAAATCATTGTTTTTATTCTTTATTTCTGTTGGTTTAATTTTATTTTAGAAACATTGAGAATTATAGCAACTTTTTTTAGATTAAAATTTTTAGTGTTCAGAATTATTAATAATGTAGGAGAATTTGGCCAGTAGGACCTAATTAAAACCATATCCACCTGCTAACTGTTTTCTGCTGGAGGTGGTGTGGTGTGGAGAGCAGATGACGGTGGAAAACAGGTGCTTGGGTTGGAGAGGAAACTCCAGGCTACTCGAGATTTAACCAGTTTTGCTATTGCAGGATTTCTTTGAGTTGTTACTATGCATTCGGAGCCGTAGCATTTCCCAAACTTTAATTGAGCATAAAACCTTTCTTTTTTTTTACAAAAGACTTTACAGGGCAAGTGTTCCAGAGAACTTTGGGGACCACTTCTAAGTAACGTTCTTGGACCTTAGAGCCAAATTCCTTGGCTGCTTTTAGACGCCTGGTGTGGGAGGTTCGCCATCACACAACAGGTGGTGTGAGAGGGCGCAGGCTGGGGACTGGGCTGCGGCTGCAGCGCCCCGCCGAGCGTGGGCGGGGCACAGCGTGTCCGTGAAGGGCACCCTTGCGGCTCGCTGGAAAGATGGGCCTTGAGGAGGTGTCGAGACGCGTGAAAATGGGTGCAGGGGAGTCGCCAGTCTAGACTTACTGCTCCAACACAGGAAAGGGCTCTCACGCGTTCACACAGATGAACGCTCGTCTTAGACGTAGGAGTCCAGTGCTGTTACTGTACCCAGTAATTGTTTTCTCTCTCTCTGCCCCTTCTCTGCCTCTCCCCCACCCCTGCTCGTCTCCCCTCACAGAAAGTATGATGAGGCCTTGGACTACCACCGTCAGGCGTTGGTGTTGATCCCTCAGAATGCATCCACCTACTCTGCCATAGGGTACATCCACAGTCTGATGGGCAACTTTGAAAATGCCGTGGACTATTTCCACACAGTATGTCCTCTGTTTGTGCCTAACTTTAAATCTGGTTAACACTGACCACTTTTGAAAATATCTTTTCTAGGCAACGTTTATTTCTTTACTGTTCTAAAATTCTTTAGGCAACATTATGTTTTATTTTCTTTGCAGAGAAGTGTGTATATTGTGCAGTATTCGTCAAGTTAGAAACAGACGTGGGGCATGTCCTCGGTGTCTGCAGCGAGGACTGCAGGTACCCAGCGGACTCGGCGGTGGTCAGTCTGGGTGCCGTGTCTAGGCAGGGAGCGCAGAAGTATCTGCTCGCAGAGCAACTCCCGGTCTTTAATTCCCTTAGATAACTGTAGTAATGAACAAAACAGTCTGTGTTCATCACAAGGAGAGAGTCTTTCCTTAATCCATATACCATGGTTCATCAAGCCTAAGACACCATTAGTAAGCGAGATGACCACAAAGAAGAAAAGTGCTGACAATTAAACTTTCTTTTTTGGGAGGGAGGACAGAGTCTCACTCTTTTGCCCGGCCTAGAGTGCCGTGGCGTCAGTCTAGCTCACAGCAACCTCAAACTCCTGGGCTCAAGCGATTCTTCTGCCTCAGCTTCCCGAGTAGCTGGGACTACAGGCATGCACCACCATGCCCGGCTAATTTTTTCTATATATTTTTAGTTGTCCAATTAATTTCTTTCTATTTTTAGTAGAGACGGGGTCTCGCTCTTGCTCAGGCAGGTCTCGAACTCCTGAGCACAAACAATCCGCCCACCTCGGCCTCCCAGAGAGCTAGGATTACAGACGTGAGCCACCGCGCCCGGCCTGACAATTAAACTTTAACATAATTTTTTCCTGTCACTTCATTTTTTTGTACTTAGAGAAAGTACTCTTGAACATATGTAGACGTAGATTTCTGTCACTCTAGTACATGCACAAAAAAGAATATATAAGTGAAATAAATGGTTGTGATATTCAGCCCACGGTGTCAGTGTCCCTGTTTTCCAAAAAAAGTATCTTGGTCCAGCTCACACCTAGTTGTTGACTCTGGATTTCCTCCACGCTGCAGACACCTGCTTTGCAAATCTCTCTCAAATCCGTCTCAGTCTGCAAAAGCGTCAGCAGGGTTTTTAGACAACCACAGTTCACTGTCTTCTTTAAATGTTCCTCGCGTGGCTTGTCGTCCAGTCTGTGCTGCCAGCATGGCTGCCAGGTCTACAGGGCATGGGCGGGATGTCCATGTTGCGGCTGTGGCTGCTCTGACACAGCACAGCACGACATCAGCGGATGCAGCAGCAACAAGAAACCAGGAGCTGTCAGACATCGCAGTTTCAGAACATGAGAATTTGAGAAAATGTGGGTCTTGGAATTGACGAACTAATGGTATTTGGAGAAAGATGAAATGTGAGGAAATGTAATATCTCAAAGATAAATTCACAAGTAATAGGTTCATACCTGATTTTCAAAGGTTAATTAGAGATTTTCAGACTAGATGAATTCCTGAAGGTGTCACTATGGTAACCAGAGTACTGAGCTAGTCAGAGCTTTGAACTAAGCAAATTTTCTAGTCTTGCATGATCTTTTAAATACGTACATTTGGATATTGTGTAATTCACCTCTCTTCTGTGATGTAATTAATGCAGAAGGCTCATCTCTGAATGAGTATAGTTTTTTAATCTTTTGTGGGGGTAGATTTTAAGCATAAGAAAACAGCGTGACGAACCTCCGTGGCCCATCACCCGACTTCAGTCATCAGCTTGTGGCCAGTCTTGTAGCTGTAGCCCCACTTACTCTGGGCACCCTGGAATATTTTGAAGTGAATCAATGTGGGAATGTTTTTAAATGGAAGAGAAGGAAATACATTTTCTTTTAATAACCGTGCTGAATCCTTTTTGGCAGGCCCTTGGTCTTAGGCGAGATGACACCTTTTCTGTTACAATGCTTGGTCATTGCATCGAAATGTACATTGGTGATTCTGATGCTTACATTGGTAAGACTATAATTATTCTTATTGGCATGTATTCAACGTTTTAGATTGTATATTTCTGTTTAGGCTTCTCAGATTCTCATCTAAGATTCTGAGTTTATCTTTCTAAGCATTCTAACTACATTAATATCAAGGAACTCTGTTGTGGCAGAATAGTGCTGTGGGAGTTAGTCATCAAGTATCGATTCAGTTCAAAGTTGAGTTCCTGCTATGTGCAAGTACTGTTACAGGATATGTGCAAAGCACTGTATTTATAGAAGAATCATTCTAATTCTACAATGGAAAAAGAAATCTTAGCAACACTTTTTTAAGTGAAGGGGCTCTGGCCTTATTTCATGATGCAGGGTATATAACATGATACTAATTTCTACGTTTCAGTGGCGTATTAAGGTGCCTTACATTCACATAATAGTAATAGGTAATTGTGAAATGTTTTAAATAAGTAATAGGGTAAGTTTGGATGGAATTGCTATTCAGTTACAAACAAGCAATAAGGCAGATAGATTGAGGTTAAATCTTGAGATCTGGACCTTGGAGTCGGAAAAGATTTCTTTAACAGGATGTGAAACCCGTAAGAGGACAAAAACGATAAATCGGACTTCAATAATACTAAGAACTTCTGTTTATCAAAAACACTATTAAGAGGGCGAAGGGCATGCCATAGACTGGGAGAGGTGACTCAGTACTTAGACTCGTTAGAGAACTCCTGTGTAGAATACAAAAAATCCTGCAAATCAGTAAGAAAATGGGCAAAATACTTGAGGAGCTTCACAAAAGAGGATATCCAGGTAGTTATGAGCCAAATAAATGTGTTCAACTTCATTCCTTATAAGGGAAATGAAATTAAAACCATAGTGAGATTCCACTGCAGACCCATCAGAATGGCTAAAAATTAAAAATACTCATAGTATCTGGTGTTGGTGGTGAGGTGGAGCAACTGAAAGTCCCGTGTATTATTGATGATTGGTGGCATTATTGGAGGGTTAAACCTCTTTGGAGAACTGTCTAGCATACCTCCTAAAGTTAAATAAGCCTCTGGTATCAGTTATCCGTTACCACCCCATAAACCACTCCAAAGCCTCTGAGGTCAGTCCAGCAGCCAGTTTACTGGTCTTGCCAGGTTTACCATATGGCTGGTCAGCAGATGCCTCGCTTGCAGGCGGGAGCCCCACTGGAATCTGGGCCTTTCCGTGGGGCTTTTGTCTTGGGCTGCTCCATAGCATGGTGGTCTCAGGGTTCTAAAGGACAAGAACCAACGCTTCAGGACTTCTTGAAGGTTAAAAGTG